AAAAAGCTAAAGGCGCTTGTTACCACCAAACCAGTATTACAAGAAATGTTAAAGGGCTTGTTTGAAGAAGAACAAGAAGAAGAAGAAGGAGAAGAAGAAGACAACAACAGAGGAACATAGTTAAAAACTAAAATGCCCGCCCCACCCAATTTACAACCCCACACAAGTTGAGCGCAGCGGCGCATATGAATCGCCTGTCCTTTTGCAGCCTAACCTAACAAACTGCAGCTGGGTCAGAGAGCTCCAAAACTTCCAAACCCCAAACAAAGAGGAGAAATCTGCAGATCTTGCTGTAGCTCTTGCTGGGTGGACTCAGGCAGTGGCTGACTTTGTACCTCCTTGGAGATCCAGGAGCCAGTGTACCCAGTGGTCAGATACCAGATTTCAACTCCTCACCTCCACAAGTGACACACTCAAGAGGCAGACTCAGTGAGCACCAAAGCCCCACTGAAGCAAGTCCTGCCCCATAAGCGTGTCTCCAGCAAAGCAGCTCTCCCACTGTAGTTGCAGCTGGTCCCCACAGCCAATTGGCCTGGAGGTCAATTCCTCCCAGTGATACCAACTGCAATCAAGGCTTAACTACAACAAGACTGTGCTCACAGCCCACAAAGGGGTGCACCAAGAGTGTCCACCTCAGGTGATTAGGGAGGCTGAGCCACTGGGCCCAATAGGACACCTATCACACAAAGCCACTCTATCAACACAGGGAAGCAGCCAAAATGCGGAGACAAAGAAACATGTCACGAATAAAAGAAATGGAAGAAAGCAAACTATGGGAAATAGAGTTCAAAAACAGTTATGAGGTTACTCAAGAATCTTCTACAAACCTCTGAGAAACTAGTGAGACCTCCGAGGAACTTAGTGAGACCTTTAAGGATCTTAATGAGAATGTAAAAAAAAAATGGAAAAGGACTAGTCAGAAATTAAGCATACACTGACTGAAATAAATAATAATATACAGAAATTCAACAGTAGACTAGAGGATCCCAAGGATCAAACCAAAGAGTTGAAATACAAGGAAGCAAAAACCACCCATCCGGAAAAGCAAAAAGAAAAAAGGATACAAAAATATGTAGACAGTGTAAGGAGCCTCTGGGACAACTTCAAATGTACCAACATCCGAATTATGCAGGTGCCAGAAGAAGAGAGAGAGCAAGATACTGAAAACCTATTAGAAGAAATAATGACAGAAAACTTCCCTTACCTGGTAAAAGAAATAGACTTACAAGTCCAGGAAGCGAAGAGAACCCCAAATAAGAGGAATCCAAAGAGGACCACACCAAGACACATCGTAATTAAAATGCCAAGGGCAAAAGACAAAGAGAGAATCTTAAAAGCAGCAAGAGAAAAACAGTTACCTACAAGGGAGTACCCTTACGACTGTCAGCTGATTTCTCAACAGAAACCTTGCAGGCCAGAAGGGAGTGGCAAGAAATATTCAAAGTGATGAATAGCAAGAACCTACAACCAAGATTACTCTACCCAGCAAAGCTATCATTTAGAATTGAAGGTCAGATATAGAGCTTCACTGACAAGAAAAAGCTAAAGGAGTTCATCACCACCAAACCAGAATTATATGAAATGCTGAAGGATATTCTTTAAGAAAAGGAAGAAGAAGAAAAAGGTAAAGATAAAAATTATGAACAACAAAGTGACAACAAATACATATCTATCAACAAGTGAATCTAAAAATTAAGTCAATAAAAAATCTAATGAACAGAATAAACTGGTGAATATTATAGAAGCAGAAGCATAGAAAGGGAGTGAGTGGACTGACAATTCTCAGGGGGAAGGAGGTGGGAGGGGTGTGGGAAGAGATTGGACAAAAATCTTACACCTATGGATGAGGACAGTGGCGGGGGATAAGGGCATGGGGTGGGGTGGGAATCGGGTGGAGGGGAGCTATGGGGGGGAAAAAGAGGAACATCTGTAATAATCTGAAAAATAAAGATTTAATAAAAAGAAACTAAAATGGCAATAAATACTACCTATTAGTAATAACTTTAAAAGTAAATGGCTAAATGCTCCAATCAAAAGAAATAAGGTAACTGACTAGATAAGAACACAAGACCCATGTATACACTGTCTTCAAGATACATTCTAAAAGTAAAAGGATGGAAAAAGATATTTTATGCAAGTGGAAAGAAAAAAAAATTGAGGAAGCAATACTTATATCTGACAAAACAGACTTCAAAACAAAGGCTATAGTAAGAGACAACGAAGGACATTAAACAATAATAAAGGGAACAATCCAACAAGAGGATATAACACTTGTAAACATTTATGCACCCAACATAGGATCACCTAAATATGTAAAGCAAATATTAATGGACATAAAAGGAGAGATTTACAGTAATACAGTTATGGTAGGGGATTTTAACACCCCATTGACATCAATGGATAGATCGTTCAGATAGACAGCAAATAAACAAAGAGACAGCAGCCTTAAATAACATACTAGATCAAATGGATTTTTGATATCTTCACATCATTTCACCCCAAAGCAGCAGAATATACATTCTTTTTAAGTGGCCATGGGACGTTTTCTAGAATAGACCACATGTTAGGACACAAAACAGGTGTCAATACATTTTAGAAGGTTAAAATCACTTCAAGCAACTTCTCTGACCATAATGCTATGAAAAACAGAAAAACACACAAAGATATGGAGGACAAATAACATGTTACTAAACAATGAATGGGTTAACAATGAGATAAAGGAAGAAATCAAAAGTTTCTTGAAAACAAATGAAAATGAGAACACAACAACCTAAAATCTTAGCTTCCAAAACTAAACCAGGAAGAATCAGAGAATCTGGACAGACAGATTATAACTAAGAAACTGAGGCAGTAATAAAAAAACTCAAAACAAATAAAAGCCCTGAACTAGATGGCTTTACAGGTGAATTTTATTAAATATTCAAAGAACTAACGCCCATCCTTCTATTCCAAACTATTCCAAATAAGCTGTTATAAAAACAATTAATCAAGCATATAAGGGCAACTACATATTTGGAAAATGGCAGAAAGGAATTAAGGCCATCTTTACTGGATCTGCTAAACTCTGCCAGGAAGTGTCAATACCACACACAAACCTCCAGGCAGGATCAGCAATGCAGTTCAGCACAAAAGACAAAGTAGGTGCAGTTATGAATGAACTCTACTCCCCATCCTAGACACCTGCTGTCTCACTCTGAAGTGAGATATTTACAATAAAAATTAGAACATAAGAGTAGAAGGAATAGGAAAACTATAAGCTCTAGAATTGAAAACCTCTGTTTGAAAGCTAGGGTTTAAAATGTTGTTCTCCCATACACTAGCTTGTGACCTTGGACCAATTACTTAACTTCTCTGGGCTTCACTGTCCTAATCTACAAAATGGGTATAATAATGGTACCTATGTCACACAATATTGTTGGACAGACTGACTCTACTCTCAACAAACACCGCCATGCTGCGTAATCACATGCTCAGATTAGCATTCCCCAAGGAAATTCCAAACTCCATGCCTTGTTCACAAAGGACTGTGTGTTTTTCTCCTTCACTATCTACTGATGACATGTAGCTACATGAGACTCCTTCAGGAACACAGAAAATAAAGGCACCCAGGGAGAGTAGCATAGGGCATTTGCCCTAATAATAGAAGTTATTCCAAAAAAAGCTGTGATGAAATAGAATTAATCAAACATATAAGGGCAACTATATATTTGGGGAATCGCAGAAAGGAATTAAGTCAGTCTTTACTGGATCTGCTATGCTAGGTACAGTGAAGTACCTCTAAAGAGTCAGGCACAGTTTCAGGTATTTTACATGCATCACTTCACTGAATTTTATCAACAAGCTTATGAGGTAGGCATTATTAACCTCATCAATTTATACATAAGGAATATTCAAATAAGTTGAGTAACCACCAAGTTAATATCACAGTTAAATAAGAGTGAAACCTGGAGTTCAAAACCAGATCAGTTTATCCAATGGCACTTGCCAGTACACTATGTTGAATTAGATTTCCAATGGAAGAGTAATTAAGAAAGAAATTAAAAATGAGGGAAGGGTACTTTTTTTACTAACATGATCAATTCATGTAATCATATGGCAGGACACCAAAATACATGCAATGTCATTTACTCCTTCATTCACTTATTTACTAATTCACAAGTATATCAAGCATCTATTATGTGCCACTGATAAAAATAGTATTTGAAAGGTACTCAAAACTTTAAAAGAGAAAACTATGAAATATGACCAATATACTAATAAAGTAATAGAGGAAAGTACAGGCAAAGAGGAGACAAGAAAAGCATTAGTTGCTTTCCCAATAGCCCCATCTACTACCTTTACCCTCCTTAAACAAGAATTCACAGGAAAAAACCTGATGCTCATTTTCATTGCCTTTTTCTTTTTGGGAAAATTGATGTTTGGAAGTTTAAGCCATACTGCTAAATCTTCTCTGCAGTTTGTTCTATTCAGAAAATTGCTGTCCCACAGACAATCATTTCTCCTCTTCCTTGTGAAGCAGGACAACCATTTACCCAACTGCAGGACTGACTAGAAATGGGTAGAGCATGAAGACTTCAAGGCAGGGTCTCCTAGAGATGAGCTGTGAGAGGCCAGAAGCTGCTTGTATTCCACAAGCCCTAAGGCATTTATGTCCATTCAAGGTTGATATATTCTGACAGACCAAATGGTATGTGGAAGCAATTCATTTCACATTTTATGAAACGTAAAAAAGAAAGAAAACTCAGCAAGTCTAAACATCAAATCCAAATAGGAATGCATTAGAATCCCTCTCAAAGTCAGTCATGTCTGATCTATGGATTTACCATATCACAGGACACCTCAGCTGGAAATCTCTCTACCCAAAGCCATTGGACTAAAAATGAAGTCAGCCAAAGTTTTATTCTTCTATTGTGCTAAGAAATCAGAGCCTCTGTAGCCTGCATGCCAGGACACATGAGAGGAAATGCCAGTGTAATAATGTAATAATCTAAAATGTGTACCTTTAGTCTTTGGTCATCAACAGCTATAATCGTAGCAACTCGAATTAACCTGGGGTTTCGTTTATCCACAACTTCAAGTTTCATATTTGGCAGAAAACCATGAGGCGACCGCTGTAACATTACAAGTGCAATAAGTCATGCAAATTTCAACTATTCAGCTACGCTATTAAATTTTTCCTAAAATATTATTGTTCTAGTTTTATATTCAGATCTTTAGTACGATGGAATTAGTTTTAAGAGAACATAGGACTTTATGCATGTTATTTTATCCAGTTTCATAAAAACCTGTGAGAAGAGAAATGATTTTTGGTCATTTTCAAGATAGCTAAAAAGACAAATAATTCATTAATGATCACATCAAGGTTCTAAAACAGTGGTTCTCAACTTTCTGGCCCTTTAAATACAGTTTCTCATGTTGTGACCCAACCATAAAATTATTTTCGTTGCTACTTCATAACTGTAATGTTGCTACTGTTATGAATCGTAATGTAAATATCTGATATGCAGGATGGTCTTAGGCGACCCCTGTGAAAGGGTCCTTTGACCGCCAAAGGGGTCGCGACCCACAGGTTGAGAACCACTGTTCTAAAAGGATCTTATTACAGTTTATCTATTGGTTTACTTATTTTTTCCTTCTGAAATTAACCTGGTAAATTAAGAAATTGTTGACTATTCTCACTGCCCACTTTTTGAGTGTATGACCCAGAAGGCAAAATTATTTAATAAATAATTAGAAAAGATAACCATAATCTTTTATAAATCTAAATTTTGAAATAATATTTAGATAAAAGCTTCATAATTTCAAACTGGCAAACTATTATAAAATCATGCCACAATGTAATTTAAAGATATAACCTATACTTTTTTCTTACCTTATCTGTAACATAAACATGTTAAACTGTATTAATTTAAGTTTCTCCCAAGACTTAAAATGCCAGGAATCAGGAGTCTATAATGATGAACACTCAGGCAATAATAAAGAAAATGGAGTCAGAAAAATATACCAGAACATACACTGAAAATGAGGAAATTTAACAAAATCAAAGCCAAAAGACAACTCTGACAGTACTTATAGGTTGGCAAAAAGTTTCACTTGAAAGCTACTACACATAAAATTGTTCGATTGACTTTATTTAAAATGAAAGTGCACTGAACTTCTTAAGCCTAGAAATGGCAATAGGAAATAAAATCCTCAAAATTTGTGAGTAATAAACTGTTAATTCTTTCACAAGATCTGGTTTGTTTCTCTCCAGCTTTTGTGGAAGCATATTTTCTTTCTAAAATGCATTATTAAATCTAGTAAACATTGTATATTGACTATGAGTAAGTCTCTGATCCCTGAAAATCGTTCTGTTTTCCCCAAGGTTACTGGCCTGACAACCCAGGGATTGTTTGTACTGCAGATGTTAAAGCTTGAGGTGAATCCATAATAACCCAAGTTGCCTTCTTAGCTAATTTTTTTCATAATTTTATTTTCTTGTAATTTTCCTTTGGGAAAACTAAAATGAATTTTTGGCAGAAAGCAAGAGGAAGACTAAAAGCAACTCGTATTTTTGCTAAGCATATTTTTAGAATTCTTAAAATCCTCTCTAACAGTTCAGAACTTCTAGCCTTCTTAATTTAATCATACCTCTTTCCACCAAATTTAGCCTATTTTAATAAAATTTAAAAAAATTAAAACAACCCTAGCCAGTTTGGCTCAGTAGATAGAGCATCAGCCTGCAAGCTGAAGGGTCTCGGGTTCAATTCCAGTCAAGGGCACATGCTCGGGTTGCAGGCTCGATCCCCATGTTTCTATCTCGCTCTCTCTCTACCTTCCTCTCTGAAACCAATATATATGTGAGTGTATATGTATGTGTGTGTGTGTGTGTGTGTGTGTGTGTGTGAAACATTTTGTTTTAAACCCTTTTTGATTCCTAGAAAACTTTCAGTAAATGGAATCATATGTAGAAACTCACTATATAAAATTCTGATTAAAGACGAGTTGGGGAGCCTGGAGCACACCATTAGGGTTGAAAGAGAACAACATTTGAAAACTACTGGTGTAGAACATAAATATTTCTAACTATACTATCAAAGCACTATCTTTTACAAAGTAATTTATACTTTGGTCAATCCTGAAATAAATTCAAATTTGACCTTTAAATAATTGGTATTCTAACAAATGCTAAAAGCACTATTTCCCTCAAAATGGATAAAACTGTAATACTCAGGTTACAAACAATTCCCTATTTTACTAAGGCACCATTGACATTGAAACAAGCTCCCAGATATGGAAGTTGTGGACTTATAGAACCGGAAATGAAGGACTTGCTCATCAGAGGTTGATGAGGAGCTTTCAATATCACTAGTGTAGGATTCCTGTGTTTTTCAAGCTGGGGAATTATCACCTATGCACAGGAACAACAGTAAATGAGTCGCCTCCCTTGCATTTTTAAATAAAAGCAAGGCAGATTGGTCATGAAAATAACACTTGAGTTTAAAAAAGGATATACTAGAATAACTTAAAACTGCCAAATAAAGGCATGACTCAACATGGACATTATTTAAAGTTGAGAACGTATATGGATACAAACTTACCATTTTAAATACTTTGGCAGGAACTGCACTAGTTTGAGTAGCTTCCAGATATTCTGTCCAGGAAAAATTTTCTGGATCAGGATAACCTGAAAAATACATATAAATATCTAAAGATTACTCATTGATATTTTGATTCCCTTATACTATAAGACATTTGATAATCATAACACCTACTGTTATTTGAATGCTCACAATTTAGCCTCTATGCTAAGAACATCACATGTATTACCTAACGTAAGCCTATGAGAACCTCTGAGAGGGCTTTTTTGACTCACTAAAGTACAAGAGCATTCATTTACTGATTCATTCATTCACTCAACAAGGATAAGCAGGTTGGCCAAGATCAAATGGTGATATGAGTACTTGGCAGAGCCAGCTCACACCCAGATAGCCTCCTCACAAATTTGAAAAAACTCACAAGCAGAGTCTGATGTCAAAGCATTAACTTAAAATAGAATCTCTCCAATAATGCTGCATCTATTAGGTTTTATAATTATAATTTCCCAGGTTTGCTAGTATTACTTTTATTTAAAATTATATATTGGTAAAACATGGTATAAAGCACTCTATGTTTTTAAAAATTTTCCATCTAATTGGGTTTTTTGTTTTTCTATGTTTGTGTTATTTTATTCCTAATTACATTTGCCAGAGGACTGTCAAACTTGTGTGTATTTTTTTTCCTTTTAAGAAATAAGTACTTAGATTTATTCATCAGCTCTATTATTTTCTTTTGTCTCTTCTAATTATCTCATTTGCTGCTTTTATTCTTACCCTTTCCTTCCTCTTATTTCCCTTAGGTTTGTTTTATACTTGTCTTGCCAAATTGAACTGTAATATAATTTTTCTTTTTTTAAATAATAGGGACATTTAAGACTATGAACTAGTCACCATTGTCCCTGAATACAGCTTTAGACCTCTAGACAAACTTTCACAAAATATTTTTCTTTCACCTTCTGAAAACTAATTATATTTACAAAAGGATGCCATATTTGTTACTTGGTCATCACTCAGGTCTGAAAACACATGGAGAACTCTTTGATCTACAGTATGGACTCTCATTATCTCAAGCACTTGTCAAAGAGCTCATTTTGTAACTGATTATTTTAAAATAAGGCTGAAATGAAGACTATTCAGGATAGACTAAGGAAACAGAGTCTCTTCTATGTCTAGTGAAATCACCAAAAAAAAAAAAAAAACCAACCTGTGCTACATGGCTGAGCTCTGAGCAGAATTGCCTTCGAAAAGCGCATGGCACCTACCTAATATAACCCAACATTTGGTAACTGGCAGGCATTTGCAATGGGGAATTCTCTCTCTCTCTCTTTCTCAATAGCCAACATTATAGAAAAACACACTGGTTATTTTGCTTCTAATTTCCTCTCAATTTCACTAACTACATAACATTCCACTGAGTAACTGGTCCTCATGTTGTCCTTTTTGTTCTTTGTTATATCCTCAGCTCCTAGTTGTGCCTCACACTTAGCAGGCACTTATTAATATCTGTTCAATTAATTAATTAGTAATTTATAATTTTCTTTGAATTCCTACATTGCTTATGTCAACAAAATTTATAGGAAATTGCACAATGCCATTTAAAATATAGTAATTATTTGTGTTCCTAAAAAACCTTAATGGTTAATGTTATAATTAAATAAAATAGTTATACTATAAATTTTGCTAATGTAATTTTAGCTTTGTAAGATAATTATGAAGTACAGTTAAATTGTCAAAACATTAATTCACTAAAATATTTCTGTTTGCTCATCAAACATCTAGAATATTTGATAAGCAAGTCCAGCCAATTTATGATTCTAGAAACCAACACATCATGGAATATTATATAGCCTTTATAAAGAAAGAATTAGAACTATACTTAATGAGTTAAAAGAGATTTATTATAAGACATAGCTGAGCAAGATAAAATGAGATAGAAAAATATGTATAAAATATAATCCCATTTTTATAGCACGAACAGATTTTAAAAGGACATGAACATATGGATGTATGAATGTGTACGTGTGCATGTACATGCAATTGTATAGGAATTAGCAAAATATGTATAGCATACAATGTCTAATGGTTCAAACGTTTTCCTTTTTCTCTTGGGAAAATAACTGAGCAGCTACATTTCCTGGACTCTTATTCCATGAAAGGAATAAGTAGAAACTATGTAATAAGCCACTTCAAGTTTGGCCCCTAAAGCCCTCTCCTGTGCCATCAGCAGCTCTTTTCCCAGCCTCAGACTTCATTGAAAGAGTCACAAGGACCTGGAAGAGACCCAGTCCCAGAATAATTGCATAGAGCAGAACTAACCCTTATCGACCATGACTGCTCTACTACAGGAGCCAGAAATTGATTCTTAATGTGTTCAGGCACTAAAATTTTGGAGCGATTTGATATACTCATTAGCTCATGGTAATTAATATTTGAAATAATTCACCAAGTTCAAGGATTTTATTTGTTGGAATATTTTTTATTACTAATTCAATCTGTATATATAAAGTATTTTATGTGAAATATTTTAAAAAAGAAATATGACTTATTATATAGTTTTATATACTAGGACTTGTGGATAAAATGTAAGCAAAATAAATACAGTCCATGTAACACAATATTCATAGAAAATTTTGCCAATAATTTGAGAAATCTGGTATTCTTTTAATTTTTATTTTTTACTTTTAAACTTTTAATATTGTTGTTAGAAGAAATAAACTTTATGGAGGGTAATATGGAAATATTTATCAAATGCTTAAATTTTTTTCTATACTCTCTAATCCAATAATTCCACATATATCCATAAAGAAATAGCAAATATATGTAACCATTTCTTTAAAAGGATGTCTTCCAACATTATTTAAAAACTGGAAAAATGGTAATGTTAAATACAAAGGAAAACCCTAAATAAACTGTGTTGTCTTCATAATATAAAGAAGTACACAGTCATTGGTAGCTAGGTTCTCAAAGACTATTTAAAGAAAATTATATTTTCAAATAAAATGGAGGAAAGGGTTATCAAAGCAGTATGAACACTAAGATAACAATTATAATTTTTAAACATAAAGTTAAGTAAAGAGACAAAAATATTGAAAAATAAATGAAAATAATAATGGTAAACTCTAATGGTGGGATTATATTTTAATTTATTCATTATAACATTACATATTTTACACATTTCCTATAGTTTTATAATAAGAAAAATACACAATTAATTTCTATTTTAAAGAAGTTTAACTATAAGATGTGCACTGCTTTATTCTTTATGTATAAGAATTCAATGGTAAAACAAAATTTAATTCACAAAGAGTAGAATTTAGTTGATTTGAACACTCTTTATAGCAAACGAGAATGCTACCCTTTTACACTGTGACTATAAAAAGTGTTGGGAATTTACTCTGTGTGAGATGCCTTGGGGAAACAGTGAAATGATTTGCAATCAAGTTAAACAAGAGAACAAATAATGATATCTTATGCTGCAGCGGCAGGATCACTCACTGATGGAATCACAGTAATATCCTATGGGGACTATGGTAGTAGAATGTCTACCTGAGGCACAGACACATAACATAAAACAATATTGCACATTGTATCAAATGGCTATAAAAACTGTCTCACACTTGGCAAAATATGCAAGTTTAATTTGTTTTCTCACTTGGAATGGCTTTTTGTTATCACATTAAAATGCATTTACTGTAGAAGATGGTATTTACAAGAAAAGAGTCTTATAAGGTCAAGAACCAAATTTATTTCCCTAGCTCATCAACTTGCAGAGCCCTCCAGACCGTAAGAAATTCTGATTAAAGAGCTTATTCATGTCTTCTTATTCAGTCACTTGCCAAATCAAGTAAGTAGCAATTCCAAGTAGTCTACCTCTTCTTAACCCCATTCCCACAACCCTGGTGAAGGTCTATACTACTATTTTCACATACCATGAATCTCTCTAATGGTCTTTTACTCCCCTTTCTCATCTGGCCTACTACTGCCAAATAAATGCTCCCTAACCATGGTTGCAGCAGAGATTTCACTATCACTCCTCATTCTCACTTTTAAAGATCTTTCATAAAATCCTTTTCCTACTAATTCCTTATCAATGCTCCAAAACAAAAGTGAAACCCATTTTGGTTTTGTGTATACTGTCATCTTGCTTTTGTGTATACTGTCCCTTCTACCTAATATCCTCTTCGACCCCATATCGCAGTTAAAATTTTGCAGATCCTTCAAAGACTACTGCAAATACCGCTTCAAATACCAAGATGTCCACATATGAAGTCGAAATTTACATCTCCCTCTCCTGTGTTCCCAGCCCTCTACTATACATTTCCTTCCATCACAGGAAGAAACAGGACTTAAAGCAACATGATGAGGAGGAAACGGCAAGGAGTTCCTGTAGTCCACTAACAGGGCCTGCTACTAGTCCCCAACACACCACATGAGATGTCTGGGCCAGCTACCTGATCTCTCTGGACCTCAGTTCTTCAACTAGGAAATTGAAATAATTGACAAAAATTCACAAAGTTGCCATAAACAGTTAAATGTGTGAAGTCATATAGGTCATTTAAGAAAAATGAGGTACAAAACAAAAGTTCAAAATACACTAAATATGATGGCTATAAACAAAAGCACAAACAAGTGTAAGGAAGGATATAGAGAAAATGGAACCCTCACAACTGCTGGTGGGAATGTAAAATGGGGCACTTCCTGTGGTAGAGTCTAAAATACTGCTCCTACGTTTCTACCCTAGAGAACTGAAAACACATTCACGCAAACACTTGTACACAAAGGTTCCTTTTGTAACTTCAGCTAAAATTCCAGTAGATTGATTCTGAAGGAGCAGAAGCCCCAGCCATATCTGTTAGTCCTCTCTAGAAATATACTGAATAAAATATGTAACAGCTTGGATTAAATCTATATCAGTGAAAAGCACCTTTACATTTTATAATTTACATGTTTTAAGAACTGGCTTTTTTCCCCTCTTTATCTTTGAAGAGGCTCTTTTATCTGGCATCGATGAGAATCTGAGTATGCACCAGAGGCCCCTGTACAGATTTCACATGCTGTTCCACTTTCAGGAGACTTAATTGCTCTCAGAAGTGCAATTACACACACACACACACACACACACACACACACACACACACACACACACATTATGATATAGTAAATACATTTTTTTCTGACAATAAAACCATAAAATAAGATGTGATGCAAAAATCTATATGCATAAATAATGCTTAAAATATAAATTCACTTTAAGTAAAATAACTATGGCGGCTAACAAATTTTGGAGCCAAGTTATTAACAGAAACAGAAAATATTAATTTCTTTTCATTTTTTACTACATATAAATAATATATATAAACATATAAACATATAAACACATAGACATAGACACAGATCTATATATAGATTATAGATATATATGTGGATGTAGATATAGATCTATAGATAGAGATATAGAGATATAGATAGAGATAGAGATATATAGATATAGGCATATAGATATAGATACAGATATACAGAGAGAGCTGGTTGGTTTTCCTTTTAAAATCTCATGTTTAAATTCCTGTTTGTGAACTACCTGTGTACACAGCATTCCATTAATCTGCCTCATGGACCTTTCTACTATCTATGACTTCATTCACATCTTTCCTTTGTTTTGCAGTTAATAGGGACCTATCATCTTTGGTGCACTCATATAGGCCAGAATAATCATAACTCATCACAAGTTTTAAGCAATTTTGTTTATTGCTAAACTTTGCTTTCACCCAATTTTTACTCACAGTTTCTTTGTGTATATTTTCTTTGCACTCCACTCTCTTGTTCACACCTCAATTAAGTGGTTAATCTACTTGTATTTTCATTTTACATATCACCTATCAAATGGGAAGTGACCTGGGGTTCAAAGAAGGCTATCAGGAAGGGTCAACCCTGTCAACACCATAAGAGGAAACCCCTTATGACAGAGTTAAGTCCCTCATTAAGACAAGTAATCATACTGTGAACATTTTAACTAACTAAAATTTTGATATGGTGTTCATACTGTTTTTTCTTAACAGCAGCTTCAGATACTCTATTAGGATATAAACATTTTTCAAAAGTGAATGACATTATAAATATAGACACAAAATTCCTCAACAAAATATTAGCAAGCCAAGTCCAGCAACATGTTGGAAATATTTGTGTGACACACACACACACACACACACACACACACACACACACACACACACATGTGAGCTTTTCCCCCAGGAATACAAGATTGGTTCAGTATACAAAAAGCAATCAACATATTAACACAATATTTACAGAATAAAGAATCATACCTTGATGATAAAACAAACTAGGAATAGAAGGGAACTTCCTCAATCTCATAAAAAAGCATAAATAAGCAAATGGATAAAAAAGAGGTGGCATATATATACAATGGAGTATTACTCATCCATAAAAATAATGAACTCTTGCCATCTGCAACAACTTGGATGGACCTAGATGGTATTATGCTAAGTGAAATGGGTCAGACAAAGAAAGATAAGTGCCATGTGATTTCACTTATATGTAGAATCTAAAAAACAAAATAAATGAACATTTAAAAAACAGAAACAAATTCATCAATACAGAGAACAATTATGATCACTGCTAGATGGGAGGGGGTTTGAGAGGATGGGTGCAAAAAGAGAAGGGATTAAGATGTGCAAATTAGTTATAAAAACAGTCAGGAGAATGTAAGGCATAGCAGAGGAAATATGGTTAATGATATTATAATAACTATGTATGGTATCAGATGGGTAGTAGATTTATCAGGGTGATCCCTTGTTATATAAATGTCTGATCGCTATGTTGGACATCTGAAGCTAATATAATATTTATGTTAACTGTAATTGAAAAATAAAAAATTATTTAAAACATAAAAATTAAAACATGTAAAGAAGACAATCTACATAGGAGAAAACATTTGAAAATCATTTATACAATATGGGCTTAATAACCAGAATATATAAAAACTCCTACAATAATAATTAAGAATAGTAAAGGAATATAATACTTAAATAATAAACAATAAAAACAGCACCCAATTTTAAAAATGGGCAAATATTTAAGTAGATAAGTCTAGAAAGAAGATGTACAAATGGCCAATAACCATATGAAAAGATATTCAACATCACTGGTCATTAGAAAAAAGTAAATCAAAAGCAAAGAGATATACTATTTCACAACCAGTAGGATGGTTTTAATCAAGAAAACAGAAAATAACAAGTATTGACAAATATGTTAAGAAATAAAAACCGTTATACATTGCTAGTGGGAATGTAAAATGGCACAAGTACTTTGGAAAGCAGTGTGTTAGCTCCTCAATATAGTAAACACAGACTTATCATATGACCCAGCAATTCCACTCCTAGGTTTATGCCCAAGAGAAATGAAGACATGTCCACACAGGAAATTTTACTCAAATGTATAAAAATACTCTAATTAGTAAAAAGAATACTGAAAAGTATGTAAGGTTTAGAGGTAGCTTAACTGTGAGATTCTAATTTAAACATTATATGTCAGATAAAATATCCCAAGAATTTTAAGAACTCTTAGAGAAGGTAATTTGCTCCTCAAATGAAAAATGCGCATTACTAAATTAGTCTGTGGTTTCAACCATCACTCAGATTTCACATGGTGACAATATTTAAATAAACAATTAATTCTACAGTAAAAACTACAAGCCTGGATTGAGTTCTGCTATTATTTTATTGACTTTAGGAAGGAAATAGTCTCCTATTTACATCCAATCAGGGCCTTAAGCCTGGGCCTCACCTGGGGTGTGGCAGGTGGGTTCCTCTCAGTCCTTGGTTCATGTTAACAATGGAATGATCTGGACCTTTAATCCTTAATATGCTGCACAGACTATTCCTAGACTCACACAGCACCAAGAGATGGGTTATGGACTTCAACACTGAGTCCATCGTACAGTCTAGTGTGAGCAGGTAGCAAGCAGCATGGAAGCGATTTCTTTGGAGGAAAATGGAAGGGTGTGTGCTGCATCTGCAGGCATGCCAACTCCAACCACCATTCTGAGATCTGACCAACAGTTCACTTCATCTTAAAGAACACTGTCTAAAGCTAGCCTTTGCCAGTTTTACAGAAAAATAGAACAAGCAACTCTAAAGCTATCTGTGCATCAAAATCAGAGTTTGAGAAGATACTATATATTATCTTATAAAACTTTTAAAGACTAATTTAATATTTTTAATAGGGTGTGGTTTTTGTTTGGCTTGTTGATTGTCTTTAATTCTTGAACTCTTTTCACTGAATTAAAAAAAATTGTTGAGAAATCCTAGTACTTTCCTATAATTAAGGGGGAGTGGGTAGATTTAAAAACAGCAAGATCCAGAATCATTCAAATTAAAAGGTAAGCATCTGCTCCATTCTGACACATTCCTTACTCTATATTTTTATTGAAATAAAACAGATTTCTCCTAGAACACTTGTTTTAAAAATGTTAAGATTACACAACCACTACATCTAATTCATTTTAAAATTAAACACACAGATGCATCTTTGAAATATCATCCTGAGCAAAGTAGGTCAGACAGAGAAGGTTAGAAGTCATATGATTTCACTAAGATGTCGAATATAAACCTGAAAGCAACAGATGAATGAGCAGGACAAAAAGACAAATGGAAACACATGGACATAGACAGCAGTGTGGTGGCTCCCAGAGGAAAGTGTGGGTAGTAAAAGGTAAATGAGTCGCCCTAACTGGTTTGGCTCAGTGGATAGAGCATCAGCCTGCAGACTAAAGGGTCCCAGGTTCGATTCCAGTCAAGGACATGTACCTTGGTTGCCAGCACATTCCCAGTAGGAGTGTGCAGGAGGCAGCTGATCAATGTTTCTCTCTCATTGATGTTTCTAAGTCTCTATCCCTCTCCCTTCCTCTCTGTAAAATATCAATAAAATATATTTTTTTAAAAAAAGGTAAATGAGTCAAATATATAGTAATGGAAGGAGACTTGACTTTGGGTGGTGAACACGATGCAATATACAAATGATGTACCTTAGAACTGCACGTTTGAAACCTATATAATTTTATTAGCCAATATCACCCTTATAAATTTAATAAAAAATGGTGGACTTGAAACAGAAAATCTCTAAAGAATGTTTCTTAATATTCCTGTAATGAGAAAAAAATATGATAACTAGAGAGTCCTTACTTCAGTATTTAGCTGTCATTAAGTTGGCTTGGTAAAGGGATCTGGCAAGTCATTATTAATTCTCACTTCTTAGATTTCTTATATTCAACTCCAAAGCTAAGTATATTTAATAATCTGAGGCTCAATTAATGAATTAACATAAATTATGAGATAAATTATAAAGTATGTAGCTAGAAATAGCTTGTTTTAAATGTTGATCTATAGCAATAGCACTCATTTTGTTGGATAAAAAAATTTAGCAACTTTTTAAAATGTCTAATTCACCTTTACAAAACAGTCTATTTTCATTATGGGGAAGGATTTCAGATATTCGGGTTACTTGGTGGTCAACAGAACTTGCACAGTATTTTCATCATACACTTTTTATTTAAATGTGGTTTATATAAATGAAAATAAGAATGACCATTGCCACTCACACAGAATGACTTAAAAGAACACCCAGCATGTCCACTCACCTTGGGGTGCTATCAGAGTTCTTCCATTCTCCTGACACCAACCAACAGGCTGGACGTAGGGACTATTTACATCACACCTGCAAAAACAGGATTCTATTTAGACCCCATATTATTCAAGGCCAGACAAATAATCCAAGAGTAATGAACATTCTGGATATGGAGAGATATCATGGAAAATATTATTTCATAGCTAAAATATTAGTTTATAGCTAAAGAGAATTAGAAGTAATTTTAGTACTATATTTTGTAAGCTGAGTGACCCAACTTCTCTTTTACATAACCTTCTTGAAATTTAAAAGTATAAAATAAAAAGTATTTGACTAAAACATGAACTTCCAGTAACATCCCCAAAGAATGGACATTTTAATAAACCTCTTCTACCACTTCTTGCTAGCAGCAAGGAAAAATATTAATAGGCCAGTCCAAATTTATGGACAGCCCAATCAGACTCCACATGACTACACATTTCTTTTTTCTCCTTTTCAAAGAATTCAGACTCCACTCCCTAAGACACAGACAGCAATTGATCTTTACTCTGCTTCAAGGAAGGAATCAAGGTATCCTTCTGAGGCAGGGACTTATTGGTTATTCAGGACATTCTATGAAGAAATGCTACTAAAATTATTTTGCCATGCCCTTTTCCATACGTCAGGCTTTTGCCTGGAAAACCCTTCTAACTCATGCAATGTTAGTTTAATGGCACTGTAGCATCTTCTCTGTTCCCACCAGCTTTCAAATAATTCACTCCATCCTCCCTGAATCTTTCCTTTGAAAAATATGACAGAGCGAGTTCAACATTTTCCAGGAAAAAATATTGCAAGTTCTTATCTTCCTCTTCACGAAAATACTTCCCTTACAAACTAGACAAAATACAGCGAAGTACCCTGAACTGGTCATATTATTTTGGATGGGGCCTCATTAGGCAACCTCTCGTGGAATGAAGGAAACGTTTCTCGGGCTCAAATTCAACAGTTTGTGTGGTAGTGAATTCCTGTTCATAACTTCAAAAACAGTAAGAACAGCGACAATACTGGAATGAAAAGGAATTCTTAACACAAAACACAAACACACAAAAATAAAACACACAATGGTGTCTCACCAGTAGTCGTAACTATCATCCCAATTGTCAAAATGCACTAGCAAACGGTCTTCAACAATATCTGCTATGGTTGCCACACACACCAGTGAAGGGTTCTTCCTGTCGACAGCCTCCAGCTTCATTCCCACCTGAAATTCTTTAGGCACTGGCCCATTCTAACACAGCGCCAGAAAGAAACAGGACACCAAACAGGACAGAGCATGGTCAGAACTTCTATGATGTTTAAGCATCAGAAAAGTCTACAGGGTCTCAACACTTCCCCTTCTGTATAAAGCCAGCAAATGCCAGTAAAAATAGCCCAACAAACTGTTAGGAAGCTTATATTCAGAACAAAGATCGAAAGATTAGCTTTTACATTGTGCTGTTTCTTTCTTTGTCCAGATAGGCTTATTTCCCTTATCAGGGTCATTTTCCTTCTTTTTCAATTCTTACAGTAATTTGTATGAATTTTAAAATATGATGATTACTGAATACAGTAGTATCAGATAATTTCCTCGGCTCCCCAGAGGCTTTGTTTCCAAATACCACTCTTTAGCACCAAAATTATTTACTTTGATCAGATCTGAAATTAGTGGCTTTTTCAATATTTAAGGAATACATGTAGTAACCCACAAATAAAATTATAGTTGAAATACCCAAATGCTCTTTATTATCTGCACATATTTTTAGTATTAAAAAAATACTAGAGACTATGATTTACAAAATATTAAAATGACAAAACCCCACTTTCATAAAACTATAATTAGCCAGCCCTGGGAATTAGAAAGTATATGTTCTATATCTCCTATATCTGGTGACTAGAAGAGGGTTTTCCTACTTCTTTACTATATATACTGACTCCTGAGTTTTGTTTTCCTTAAGCACCTTACATTTTTCAAAGCAATTTCACATTTCTTTCCTTGATACATTCTATGAACCATATAGAGAAACTGTATAACACTGATTTCAACATCAGAACACTGAAGCTTGGAAAAGCTGGGTAGGTGTCCTACACAGGGACTCGGCCCACAGGTGCAAGACTCTAGGCTTCCCACCCCTTTCCCTGCTGTGTGGCCTCACTGCTGGGCCCATGGGCTCAGAGGAGGTAGGGCTGTGACTTATCCTCATTCTCTCCTTAAGACTTGGTAGATTGCTGAGGACATAGATGGTATGAGTATACTCTTCTCAAATTCTCATATACCTCTTGAATCTGTATAAAATGTTACCTTCATTGTCATTACACATAAATCCAACTAGGATGGGTACATTCAAAGTCTCTCTGGAGCATTTACTGGTCTCAAAACACCAAAACTAACTTTAAATGATTAACTCACAAAAAGCACAGAAAAAAAAAACATTTCTGAAAGGCATTTTAAATTTTAGAAGGCTTTAAATATAAAGTTTTCAACTCTCTCCATCTAATCAAAGTATTTAATTATATGTTTAAAGGGGATAAAAAGATATGCCTATAAGAAACTGACATATTAAGTGAAAAAAGGTCAACAGGAAGCTAGGAATTCTTTAAAAATTAAAGTACAACATAATATATACAGTGGGGCCTTGACTTACGAGTTTAATTCGTTCCGAGACCGAGCTCGTTAAGGAGCTCATTAAGGAGCTCGTAAACTCAAATCACTCTGTCAACTCAATGCGAAAAATCGGCCGAGAGACAGCTGGTATCTCAAAGAACTCATTAGTCAGGACACTCGTAAGTCAAGGCCCCACTGTAGTGGATATTTAAAAATTTAAGCTCAAAGAAAAATCTAATTTATACTGAGGGAGAAAATACTTACAGAACTTCTGTTTCTGAATAATTTCTTAGGAGCATTTTGGAATTTGCAGGCCTTCAAATAATTCATCCAAACAAATTTATCTTTTCTATAACCTAAAAAAAGTATAGATTATTAAAGATACCCACAAATGTAACCATGTACGTACTAAATATATAATTCTTATTCAGTCCTCTTCCAGAAATTAAATGTCCTTTAGTAGAACACAAAAGATTTAAATTAAAATCTCTAGGTTTTTTCAATGTTGTTGGTTATTTTTATTTTTTGTTTTGTTTTGTTTTTTTGTTATTTCTACAACTCTTTTCTTTAATTTAAATTCTTTATTGTTTAAAGTATTACATATGTCTCTTTTTTCCCCCATTGACCTCTCCCCGGCCTTTCCCGCTCCCCAGCACATGCCCTCACCTCCCCTGGGGCGGGCGGTGGGGGGAGTGTGGTGGTGGTGGTGGTAAGAGATCTTTCAATGTTTTTTCATGTATAAACTTCAAAACTGTTGAGTTTGATTTCCCATCTACAAATTTTTAAAATTCATTAAATGTCTCATATCCCATTAGGACTTTCCAAAATGGGCAAAGGAAGGAGACATATTATTATCTGCACATATTTTTAGTATTAAAAAATACTAAAGACTATGATTTACAAAATATTAAAATGACAAAACCCCACTTTCATAAAACTATAATTAGCCAGCCCTGGGAATTAGAAAGTATATGTTCTATATCTCCTATATCTGGTGACTAGAAGAGGGTTTTCCTACTTCTCTAGGTTTTCCTCATCACTCCGGAAGAAGCCATATCATCGAGGCCACCAGATGTCCTAGTGGTGCAATAATCCAGGTGCCAGACACTTGGTGTAAATTACAGAAATACCTTCACAATCCAAAGACCATCCAGCTTTCTGATCCATAGCTTTGTAGGCTCCCCTAAAAAAAATGCATCCTCCTCCCATCCATGTGCCCTAAAGTGGTTCACAGGGTGCTGGCCCAAAGAAAATGGGTTCTAGATCAGTATTATACTTAGAATAAAAGTCAAACTCCTTGAACAGCTTTCAAAGCCAGGCTGCATCTCCATTTCTCCTGGTTTCCCGCCTTCGCTGCTCTGTTCTAGCCACATTCATCTCCTTGTGATTCCTTAAGCACACTGACCCCAGGACATTTACTCTTGCTTTCGTCTCCAACAACTGCTCTTATCCATGCAGCCACATTGCTTTCTCTCTCCTTTCACCCACATATCTGTCAGACGCCACTTTCTCAGGCGTTTCCTCATCACACTAAGTCAGAGTGTCCCTGTGATGCTCTCTGACCTTCCACCCCTTCACTGCCTGACACTGAATCTTTGTCTTTGTTTATATTATACTTCCCCTCTAGAATGAAAACCCCATGAAGGCAGAGACTGTTTATCTTATTCAGTGCTATATCCCCAGTGCCTGCACAGAGTAAGGGCTCCATCAATACCTACCAAATGAATGAACCTACGGCCTGTTATCAGCTTCCGCGAAATCCAGCAATCTTAAGGGATTCTGCTGTTAGTCTCAGGGATAGATGCCAGAGGGGACCCTGAGTTGGTTACTAAGAATAAAATGACTATATACTAACTCCTGAAGTTTCCAGGGTCATCAAATCATCTAACATCAAAGAAGACTTTATACAGAAACTAGAAGCCCGATGCACAAAGATTCATGCAAGAATGGGCCTTCCTTCCCCCGGCTGCCGGCACCACCTTCGCTCTGGCCGGAGCCGCCTTTCTGCCTTGGCTCTGGCCCGGAGCTACCTTTCCGCCTTCTGACTCTGCCCAGAGGTCGGAGCGGCTGGGGCTGGGGGGAATGCCTGCGTCGTCGCCATGGCGATGACACAAGCCTCCTGCCCCGCCCCCAGCTGCTCTTGGTGCCTGTGTATGCAAATTAACCCACCATCTTTGTTGGGTTAATTTGCATACTCACTCCTGATTGGCTGGTGGGCATCGTGACGGTATGGTCAATTTGCATCTTTCTCTTTTATTAGTGTAGATTTATATGCAACGAAATGAGCCCATTGGCATTTCAACTGGTCAAATCCTCACCTCACTAGCACATAGCAAATAAAAATGGCTTCAGTCACATTTGCCAGTCTTTATCTTTTGGTATAAAACAACAACAAAATCAGGTTATTGGCCCAAAGAAAACAGGTTCATTAAATATTTTTGGATCAGTGAAATATTTTCTCTTTCATATTTCCCTGTTTTCCTGTGATTTCTGTTGGAAACAGTGTCAGTGAATCAAGTTTCTCACTGCACAATATCATTGACTGAGATTTCATTATTTTAGATATTTCATTTTAATCACAATTTAAGCATTCGTTTCTTTATTCCTCATAAAGTGTAATAAACTTTATGTAAAATAAAATGCTATCATAAGATTTTAATTCTGTTACCTAGTTGTTTTATCAGAATCTCTGACTCAAGCAGTCATTGATGCTTTTATTAAAAAGACATTTATTTCTAAGAATCATATCCTTACAGAATTACTCCTTTTTGATGACCAAACTTTCATTTCGAAAACCAAATCATACCAGGCTCTCATTATTCTTTCATGAAATGTTGTTAAAATAAAGCTGAAATAACCACTCACTCTCTTTCCATCCTTGCTTACCCTTAGGGATATGCAATTCGTGTTTGGTCTTTCCACACCACCCTATTGGATGAATGTCAGGGGAACCAGCATTGGTCCAAAAATCGTAGCAGCTTAAATAACCATCAAAATGAAGCCTTAGACGGTAACCACACACCTGCAAAATGGAATGTTTGCAATCATTCATTGTGTTATGTATTTAAAGTATACAAAACATTAACAAAATATTCATATATTCTGTCATTGCTATCAACATGTGAACCAATCCCTCCATCTAAATGTGTTTATATTATAGAACAAATTTATAGACAACATCTAAATAAGACAAAATACACTTGTCTTTCAAGTACCTAAAATTTTTTTCTGCAAAAAAAATTTTCAATCTAGAAATATGAGGTCAATTTACACATCTATTCAATGAGTTTATTTATTAACTCAATACCTGTCAAATATTCTTTCAGAAACCCCATCTCCTACTGTCTGGCCTGGAGACATATCCCAAAACAGAGTAAGCTAAAGTACAAAGCAAAAGCCAAATGGATGTGGCCTTATTTAAACTCTAACATATAAATCCAGCATACTCAATAAAGGAAATAATAAAACAGTCTGAGAAATACATTCTCTAGACATGCTGTATAAGTTTAATAGTTATAATTAATCAGTAAATTAAGTGAACAGTGTTTTCTATATTTGATGCTATTAAAAATATACAGCTCTTTTATCAACTTAATAATATAAAATGTTTAGTAAATATGACATTTTATAAGCCATTTACTTTCATCAATGGCTCTTTATATAATTTTCACAAAATGCATATATTTATGGGAAATACATAATTCATATGCATGGATATTTTTCATATGCATTTCTCATTAGTTTAGCTAAAACTTTAATAATTTTGTCTCCTTTAATGGACGAAAGCAACATTGTGGGATTCACTGATTATTATCAACCTCAGGTGAAAGCTATTTACCAATTAAATCAAGACTACTTGCTAAGGATGAAGAACTTACTAAAAAACCTAATCTTCAGAGGAAAAAAATCATTAAGAAACATATTTCACCTATCATTGACTAAAATAAAACCATAAAGTACTGGAACTTGTTTAGAACAGAAAGTACCCAATTCCTTATTCTCTAGAAAATTCTCTTCTGTCACTTCACTGTGCATTTAGCTCAAGACGATAACACCATCTCTTACCTCAGCTACAGAAAGTACACAAAATACAGATGGATGTCGGGGGTCAATGCCTTCTAATCTCATTCCAACCTGAAAACCATTTTCGTATTCTGGAAAGGATTGGTCCTGTGAGATTTCATGATATAACATTAGCCACTGAAATATATTCACAATTTGATATTAAAACACTTGGTGTGGCTATACCTACAATCAGGAATTTACTGTACTATCTGGAAGCTCAGTACTAGAGCTAAAGATAGAAAGATGCTCTTATATACTTGACCCTGAAGGACAGTTTGATCATAATTATGTGCTTTGAAATAATTCATCTACAAAGTTTATGCCCCGTGAATTCCCCAATTATTCCTTTTGCTCATTTTTCATTAATGATTTGAAGAAGCTCTTCCTGTACTCTGGAAACAATCCTTTGTTGATTATAATATAACGTATCCCCAGTCTGTGACTTGGCTCTTCACTTTGTTTATGATGACTCTGTTGTGGAGAATTTTTTAAAATTTTAATGTATTAAAACGTATCAATTATTTCCTATACAGGTTGTACAGTTAGCCTATGAAATCCCCAGCAACCCTGAACTTACACAGATATCCTCCTAGTGCTCTTTTAAAGTTGTGTTCTTCATATTTAAATGTACAATGCAACTGGAATTGACTTTTTCTATGGTGTGAGGTAGGGGTCTATTTTTTCATATGGAAAACAAAGTATTGAACGAAAATATTTTGAATAGTCCACTGATCTGTACAGTTATCTCTGTGATACATATTTCTGGTTCTCTTTTTTTTCCTTTTTATTCTGTTCACTGGCTTACCTGTTTATAATGAGTCTTTCTATCTAGAAAGCAATCTTCATCATATTGAGTTTTATAATTCAGCAACTTGCTCCCCTCCACTTAATCCTATCATTTATCTGGCCAAGATGGTTTAAATTTTCACACAGACTAAAAAATGCTGTGTCATGTTTATTTCTGTGTACCTTTTAATTCTTATTGCTATTGTAAATGAAATCTAATTCATAATAAACTTTCTAATTTGTTCCCATTCATTATTATTTAGTTTAATACTGGTAATATTTCCCAGAACCTTGCTGAATTACTATTTGTTTTGAGGAGTTTCAAGCAGATTCAACATTACTAGTCAATTTATTCTTAATTGCAAATAAACTTACAAGTATACTAATGGAAAATGATTATTAAAATCTAATTCAAAGAGCTGCTTTCTAACCACTAATGGCATTACCACTTATTACTGCTTAACACATGAATGCCTATTTTTAAAGTAAAATTTATTCTTTTGAAGAACTCTTTGCATTTGGAAATGTCAAACTTAGAGTTGCAAGAACAAAACAGTAAAGAGAATACTTATAGCCTTTGCCAAGGCTTATTAGCATTCCACCTCATTTGCTTTACCATTTCCATTTGCTCCCTTGCTCTCGTGTCTGTGTGTATACAGAAATAGATATGCATATACATGCGCATATGATTTTTTCTGAATCATTTGAGGGTCCTTTACTCCTAAATACTAAATATTTTCCTTAAGAGCAGTATACTAGTATTCTCCCTATGAATAAAAACATTCTCTTACATAAAAATAGCTAATTTATCAGCCTCTGTAAATGTAATATTTACACAACACTTTGAACTAATCTTCCATTCATATTCAACTTTTTCTGATCTATCCAACAATGAACTTTATATCATGTTTCTCCATCCAGAATAAAATTCAGTGTAGGGTCAGATATTAAATTTAGTTGGCATGTCTCTTTAGTCTTCCTTAATCTGGAACATTCTCCATAGCATTTCTTTATCTTTTATAACATTGACATTTTTAAAGAACATAGTCTTTCCTCTCCTTCATTTTATTAAAATAGAAAGCTTCTCATTTTGGATTTGTCTGATGTTTCCTTCTGATTAGATTCATGTATACATTCTTTTGCCAGTATACTACATGGGTGATGATGTTTGTCCTTTTCAGGATATCACATCTGCAGCCACATGATGATCATGTGTCTCCCCATTGGTGATGTTAATTTTGATCACACAACTACAGTGTTGTCCAGTTCCTTCACTATACAATCACATGCAGATCACACATACAAATACATACACACATAAACATGCACACATATATGCAAATCTATGTACACATATGTATTTTTTGGAATCATAAGTTCAAACAGATTCATCTAATTTCAATCCATCCCCAAAGGGCTTGTTCTGCCTTTTTCTATCCATATTTGTATTTCCCCTCTAACAAGGTCAACACACTTACTCCTCTGCTAAATCCTATAGTATATCTATTATAGTTTCAGAATTGTTTTACCCACACTACTACAATAAATAAACCTACAAAAAGAGTTCAGGATTTGTTTGCAATTTTCCCTCTCTGCTCTTTTACAAATAACAAATGACGTATATTCTTTTTCTTTCTTCAATGCAGTTATGGTATTCATTTGAAATAAAATGGAGTTCATTTGTTTCAATTTGCATTCAGTTCATAATGAATTATTTTTACATTTTAATATGCAGAATATTAACATGCTTCTAAAACTTAAAGCTATAGAAAAAGGCACTCAAAAAGTGTCTCTCCCTCCCATATCCTATCAACTCCATTCCACCTCTTGTGCATAACCAGTCTTGCTGATTTCTGGTTTAGCTTTCCTGGGTTTCTGCTAGTAAAAATAAGCAGCTATTTTTTCTTCATTTTCTCTTCCTCCCTATAAAAGGTAGCATACTATATATGCTGTTTTCTTCTGAATGTCCCCTGGAAACCACTCTATGTCAGGTCACAACTGTTGTCCACATTCTTTTTTTTTACAGCTGCATTGTACTCCACTGAGGGTGGGTACCATGGTTTATTTGCTCTTCTTCTATACTTGGGTGCATGCATTTTCATAGGGAGATGAAATTGTTTTAAAATATTTATGAACTGGCTTGTAAAATGTCGTTAAAAACTTTCTTACATTCACAGATTATTTTAGAAGCTTCCAAGAAAAAACGTAAAAGATGACAAAACCCAAAAATGAAATGGCAAGAATGAATGATTTCTCAGGAACATTTTATTTCTACAAAAGTAAATGTCATGTGTGTGTTTAACTATTCCAGCCTTCTTCTCACATCTACTATGTTTTCCAGCAGATTGTATTTAACAAGTTTTGTGTGACTACCTCCTGTCACTGCTTTGAATTTCTCAGTTAACTTCAAGAGCACCACACACATATGTATACATACACACAACACTGATAAGAAAGCAAAAGGGAAGGAGAAACCTCAAGGGGAGTATATTAATAATGTTGAAGAAAATTTAAGAAGCTGTAGAAATTGAGAGAACATTTTCATATTCTGACAAAACTGATGCAAAATTGGGGCCAGTATTATATTAGCAAACTATACCTTCTCATCACATATGAATGATAAATTCAAAACACTGGCAACAATTCATAGTCGGGAGTTAGAATGATCAGCATTAGCCTTGTCAGCCTTTCCAAATGGTTTCTCAATTGAGCATTTGGGACCCTTAAATAATGTTGCAAGGAACACTATATGGCTAGGACAGAGCATTCTTTTGGGGTTTCAAATAAAAAAGAAAACATTCATTTTTAACAATCCGAAAGGCAACATTTAGTGAGAAATATCACTGCCTTCATCCATTTCTTTTGTGTTAAATGGTTTATTCATAGGCAATTTAATGTGATTTTTTTTCCTTTCTGAAAAGCTTATATTTTATAAAGATAATTGAGAGTTGTACTTATAAAATTATATTTTATGATGAAAGGAAACTGAAATCACACACTTAACACAAACAATAAGCTTATTAAATTCAGTCATAAGAAACCATAAGGTTTGTAGACCTGAATAAAACTTTTAAGATAAAGGAACTCTAGCTCAGAGAGGTCAAGAGACTTTCTAAAGGTCACACAACCAGTTTAGCAGCAGAGTATATCTAAGGACCCAAGTCTTCCTAAAGCCTTTGTTCCACATAAGGAGGCAGACATGGTTACAAAACAGGCAAAACAAAATGTGGCTCCAGGGCATGGAAGGCCGAAGGACATTGCCAAGGAAGCGCCATGTGCTCTTAGGTACAGAAGTTAAGGTGTTCTATTTTGCCTTGTTCCCCCCTCCCCCAAGAATAGTTGCAAAATAATGCTTTCTAGTATGAAATGGATAAATTTGTCACTAGTGATAGAGAAGGATTATTTGAAGTTCCATACCTCAGAGCAAAAGCAGGTACAAATTATATACTATTATTTAAAAGTGAGTCAGAGCATTAGAAAAAGATATTAAAGCAAAGCAACATGCCAAGAGAAAAACAGACAGGCTATTGGCAAAATTCCTTTATGAAATACAATGCATGGGGCACTCAGTACCACATGTGTGTGCCAGCAGGCCTTTGGTGCATGGGTGGACAAAGTCACAAATGTACAGCATGAACAGCTCTTTGACTCTTGATTGATAGATGTGGGAAATTCTGGACAGTTTACTTTGTTTATCATTGAACACCCCATTATAAGAACAGAGAGACTATACTTGCAATGATTATTTTTGAGCCATTACAGAGACCCCAGAAGTTTCGGTGGCCATCATCACTAGCAGAGCATCAGTGAGATTTGTGTGTTACAGAAGAGTGTCAACATGCTCAGGGGAAGGCTCTATCTGAATGCCCATAGGCATTCGATTTTATTCATAGGCAAGAGTTGGCAGCCAACAATATTTTCCTGATTTTCATTCAATATTGAAATAAATGAAAAACTGGGCATGCAATGGGATCACAGCCACTGAGGCACATATTTTAGCATGCTATGCAAAAGACTGGGCAAGGCTGGGCCTCTGGTTTCCAAACCTTCATGTGATGGCTGTCAAAGAGACAGATGCTCAGATGGATTTAATATGCAGACTAGAGGCCTGATGCACAAAATTTGTGCAAGAGTAGGCCTTCTTTCCCCTGGCTGCCAGTACCAGCTTCCCTCTGGCACCCAGGACCCGGGCTTCTCTCCATCTGCCGTTAGGCACCCAGGACCCAGGCTTCCCTCCAATCACCAGCAGGCACCCAGGATCTGGGCTTCCCTCACAGCCCCGGCTTCATCTGGAAGGTTGTCCGGAAGGATGACTGGTC